GGGTTTTATTACACAGTTGATAATACAACAATATTGGTTTTGGGTTTTATTACACAGTTGATAATACAACAATATTGGTGTTGATTTTTATTACACAGTTTACAATACAACAATATTGGTGTTGGGTTTTATTACACACTTGATAATACAACAATATTGGTTTTGGGTTTTATTACACAGTTGATAATACAACAATATTGGTTACCTGTCCACAGACTTATTACAGACAGAGTTCCATTTATTTTTCAGCTCCTCCAACATATCTTGCAAAGTTTCCACGTCCGACTTGGGACATTTGTCCTTGAGAGTACGGCCCAGCTTCATGGTAGAGTCATAAGTAGGTTGTTTAGCTCCCAGAGCCCTCTGAAACTCCTTGTGTTTACTGAGCAGCTGCTTTATTTTCTCAGGATCTTTACCAATATGGGTCAGGCTGTCTAATGTTTTATCAGCATCTTCTAACCAGTGCAGTAAACCTTTCCAGGCATCGTGAAACTGTAGTAAATACAAGATTAGTGTAAGTCTTATACTCTGAACGAGTATAACTTCTTATTTTCCTTTACCAGTTCAATATCTTATTTCCAGTGCAATATTTACAATTAACTGATTACCATTTTGAAACTCCAAATAACAATATTGAGATAGTAAAAAATTACCAGTCATGTTGTACTGAAAAAACAAAACAAATACTCATTTAGATTTGATACTTTTAATTTGAATAACATATATATTTAAAGTAATAATGAAATAATGTGTAAAAAAATTAACACTAAACAACTAATGGAAAATCATTAGTAAGTGTAGGTTTAGTGATTAGCCTGCAGCTGTTTGAGGTGAAGTATGTTATCGTTAGCTATGAAGAAACTTAGACACAAAAATACATGTTAGTTGTGAAAACAGTGCAGTGTACATAACAGATGCCACACAGTGCGTATGGGAGTGTCATAGCCCTCTCTCAAGTTATCGAACCATCACCCATTTCGTTCTTTAAACCAAACTAATAACTCCTGTAATAGTAAACAAAATCAACATTATTGCAAAACTAATAAATGCATAATAATTGGCAACACCAATATGTCAATCACATATTTAAACCAACACCAATATTGTTGTATTATCAACTGTGTAATAAAACGCAACACCAATATTGTTGATTTATCAACTGTGTAATAAAACCCAACACCAATATTGTTGATTTATCAACTGTGTAATAAAACCCAACACCAATGTTGTTGTATTATCAACTGTGTAATAAAACCCAACACCAATGTTGTTGTATTATCAACTGTGTAATAAAACCCAACACCAATGTTGTTGTATTATCAACTGTGTAATAAAACCCAACACCAATATTGTTGTATTATCAACTGTGTAATAAAACCCAACTTGATACAATAATAGTAGAGATACAGAGAGAGTAATCGTACAGGTATTGACACAATAATAGTAGAGATACAGAGAGAGTAATCGTACAGGTATTGATACAATAATAGTATAGATACAGAGAGAGTAATCGTACAGGTATTGATACAATAATAGTATAGATACAGAGAGAGTAATCGTACAGGTATTGATACAATAATAGTAGAGATACAGAGAGTAATCGTACAGGTATTGATACAATAATAGTATAGATACAGAGAGAGTGGTCGTACAGGTATTGATACAATAATAGTATAGATACAGAGAGAGTAGTCGTACAGGTATTGATACAATAATAGTAGAGATACAGAGAGAGTAGTCATACAGGTATTGATACAATAATAGTAGAGATACAGAGAGAGTAGTCATACAGGTATTGATACAATAATAGTAGAGATACAGAGAGAGCAGTCGTACAGGTATTGATACAATAATAGTATAGATACAGAGAAAGTGGTCGTACAGGTATTGATACAATAATAGTATAGATACAGAGAAAGTGGTC